AAGTACCTGTTCATCAGTCTTATAACGAATGGGATTGCACTGCTTTGTTCCAAGCCACTCTCTACTCGAGGGCCTTCGCCTTACATCACGGAACGCTAAATGATTTGTATATCAAGCCACGTGGACTGTCACATGGACATTTTCACGTATCAGTGGTGAGCAAGGCTGGAGACAACGCAGAAACCTGCGCACTAGCGATCGATCAGCTTCGTATTTTGAGAAATTCCCTCTGTCACTCCACCAGTTCTAAGATGGAAAAAGTGTTATTCGACAAATGCGTCCAACACGCCAAAGATGCTTTCCTCGCCCTTGGAGTTTCAACATCTCCAATTGACGTAGTTGGTAGTTTAACAGAATTAGACTTTCCGACAATTGAAGTTCGTAGACTTGAGCAAATGATTAAAGAAGCAAATTCGGCGCACATGAAACTTTTTGAAAGCATAACGCGAGATACTGCAGACAAAGATGAAGTTAAAATGTTGGCGGAAAAAATGGAAGAGCTTAAGACTTTGCAAGACGAGGGTGCTATTCCATCAATGCCAGGTAGGGTAATTCATAGTGAACTCCAAAAAAATCCAAGAATGATTGAAGCCTAGTTCAGCTCTTGAAATTTACTGAGAGTAGGATAACTGTCAGCTTTAAAAACTAAGCCTGCCTCCTTGTTTAAACCAACCAATTTCTGTACTATGCTTTGACAGATATCTTAAGTGGATGTGCGCGCACTCATGATAGCTTATTCAATGGCAGTAGAAGCTTCAACCTTAAATCGGTCGCTTAATCATTTTTTTGAGGCGAATGTAGTTCCTTGAACCGAGATAAGATAAAGTAAAGAGAAAATGCAGGCTACCAGAGTTCCAAGAGTATACCAAGCTGTATGCCCACAATTTCTTGTTTAAAAACGTCTGTAGTGGCGAGTAGGGAGGACAGACGGCTGTATCTGGAAGCTGCCACTTAACGAACCAAGGTACCAGGGGTCAGGACGTCGGACTCGCAATCAGGCGGTCCCAGGTTCGAGTCCAGTCCCGGCCACTTGTTGTATTTGTTCTCGGTCGTCCCGAGTTCAGCCCCTCGGACACGCTTCTAAATAACAAACTGGTTGCCTCCTGCCAGTTGGGGTTTTTAATTCTTTTATGTTCTATTTGAATTATTTGTTTCTAAGTATTTGAGTGGAGTGCTTGTGAACTAGCTGGATAAACTAATTGCACTTTCCACTACAAACAAACCTAACCACTTGATTTTGTTCTAAATGTAATCTCAGTGTAATCTCTGTATCCACAGCTCGTCTTCGACTGCTGATTGATTGTGAAGAATTGATAGGACTTTCTCCACAGGAGGGGCTTTCAAGGGTAATCGTTACCCAGCGGGCAGACCAAGCAATGCTCCAAGGATCCGCAGTTGTATCGACCACTTCTGCTAGCCCAGGGACTGCGGCCGAGGTATTCCAAAAGAGGGAAAACACAGAGGCAGAAGAACCAAAGGAACCAAAGGAAGCCGCCCAAGGGGAGGCAGTGGTTATAAATGGCTTGAGGCAAGAAAAGATTGGAAATGGAGCTGTTCCCTCCCCACAAGAAATTCTGAGTTCTATCGCGTCAAAGTGCCTACTTAACCCTTCAACATCGGAGGAGTTTAATGGTTTTCTTCATTATATGGAAAAGGTGCGTAAAGTTATTATTGTGGATGTTAAGACTGGAAGTTTAATGGTCATGGTGGAATGTAGCTCTCTCCAGGTCCTGGACGAACTCTGGGAAGATTATATCACGGGTCATCTTAGTGAAATGGTACAGAAATGCCTTGTGACCCAGGAAATTCTAGAGGAGTTTGCCCTAGCTGAAGTAAAAATCACAACAACTATTAACGAAGAGGAGTACAAAGCATGCCGCGAGCTATTGTTGAATCTTCCAAGTAGGTGTAAAGATTATCACACCGTAACTACCTAATATTATCTGTAAACTCTCTCTTATTTACATTTGAAAACTGACTGCATGACTTCGTGAAAACGTTGAAGGGCCTATTAAGTAAAACATTATTAAGGTAAGCTACTTTCAAAGTTCTTCACAAGAGGAGGAATGATTAGAAAACTCGACGAAAACATAGACTGAGTTGTTTGTGCCCGTCTTCGTTATGATTTCGACTGCTTCAAATTCCCAACTCTGAGCACGTTAACAAGTCAAATGACGGGGTATTGAGGGGTGCGAGGAAATTTTAATGCACCTATTTGATAGATACATAATACGCTATGTCAGCAAAGAAGGTTTACTGCCAGGGACTCGGGCACTGTAGGAGTCCCCCCTCCCCCCCAGGGATCCTAGAACTGCTGTTACCATATCATGTCAACCGGGATTTTATGACCCTATTTTAGGTAGAGTAGGTACCAAAATTCCCTGTCCCTTTTCAGACCATCGCGTGGATGGACGAAAGCGATTCCGCTATGTTTGGACCACAAAAATATTTTTTGAGTAAGGGAAAGTACAGATTTTAAAAAGCAGGGTACGTGTCATCGGAGACTTAACAGACAGGTTGTTTGCTGATTTGCATGGTTATTCCTTGTTGAAACAAAAGTCACTGTCGCGAGTTGTGTTTGCTTTTAGGAATGCCCACCTACTCCTCCCCTGAGCCAACACGGTTCAAGGCGTCCGGATATTGGGGGCGGCGAAAAAAAGAAAAACAAACAAAACAAAAATGAAGAGAAAGTAATATCGAGGGGTGTTCATCTCTTCCCCTTTTTGTCCTCCGCGCTCCATTTCGCGCCCCTCTCTACTATTCGAAAGACTAGAGTAGGTTACTATGAACAAGAAACTACAATGTTTATACCACTGACCATTTCGATTCCCAAAAATGATACGAAATACTAAACCAAATTCCTATTATTTCTTCACCCTATTCCGGACTAAGCTGCTGTTGACGGCGGGATTTTAATATAGATTCTTCCCTTTTATTTTATCTTTGAAGACATGAAAGCATCGCAGCCAAGAATGGAAATAGAGGCTGCAAACACCGATGACATGTACTACACACTTGGAGTGACACAGCATAAAAAACGTGATTTCAAAGCAGCTCTCCAGTTTAAACAGCGTGCGCTGTCCATACGAATTAAATTGTTTGGAGAAGAACACGAGAAAACTGCTGACATTTACTTCTCACTCGGGTTAACAGAACATAAACTAGCTGACTTTACAGCAGCTCTTCTGCATAAAAAACAAGCTCTATCCATACGAATAAAACTGTTTGGAGAAGAAAACAAAACTGTTGCCGACAATTACCATTCACTCGGGACGACACAGCACAGACTAGGTGACTCAGTATCAGCAGTTCAGTCTCACCAGCGCGCATTGGCCATCCGTATTAAACTGTTTGGAGAAGGACACAAAAGCACTGCTGATAGTTTTAACTTACTTGGGAAAACACAGTATGAATTAGGAGATTTCAGGTCAGCCCTTCAGTCTCACCAGCGTGGGCTGGCCATCCGTATTAAACTGTTTGGAGAGAAACACAAAAAAACTTTCGAAAGCTACCACTCACTGGGGATAACACAGCATCAATTAGGTGATTTCAAGACAGCGCTCCAGTCTTACCAGAGCGCCCTGGCCATCTGTTTTAGACTTTTTGGAGAAGAACACGAAACCATTGCTGACAGTTACTACTTAATTGGTATAACACAGCAAAAAATGGGTGACCTCCAATCAGCCCTTCAGTCTCACGAACAAGCGCTGGCCTTCCGTGTTAAACTGCTTGGAGAAGAGCATGAAAGCACTGCTGACAGTTACCACGCACTAGGGATAACACAGCATCAACTAGGTTACTTCAAATCAGCTCTTCATTCTCACCAACGTGCGCTGGCAATCCGAAGTAAGGTGTTTGTAGAAGACAACAGAAGCACTGGTGATAGCTACTATTCACTTGGAATAACAGAATATCATCTCGGTGACTACGAATCAGCTGTTCGGTTCTACGAGCTTGCTCTGGCCATCTATAGTCAACTGTTTGGCGAAGAACACGAAATCATCGCTCACAATTACCACTCAATGGGGGTAACACAACATCAACTAGGTTACTTCAGATCAGCCATTTATTCCCACCAGCGTGCGCTGGCCATCCGCAAGAAATTGTTTGGATTAAAACACGAAAGAACTAGAGAAAGCTACCACTCACTATGGGCAACACAGTACAAACTCGGTACCATTAAGCCATCAGCCTTTACGTTTAANACAATTACCACTCAATGGGGGTAACACAGCATCAACTAGGTTACTTCAGATCAGCCATTTATTCCCACCAGCGTGCGCTGGCCATCCGCAAGAAATTGTTTGGATTAAAACACGAAAGAACTAGAGAAAGCTACCACTCACTATGGGCAACACAGTACAAACTCGGTACCATTAAGCCATCAGCCTTTACGTTTAACTAACACGCCCTGGCGATTTGTAAAAACGTTTTGAAGATGTTTGGAAAAGCACGCCTTACACTGATTTGCCTTTCATCGTGTTCATATTGCTTTATTAGTCATTCAAAACATTTCAAAGCCTAAAATTAGCCTACGTGGCAGGCGCAAAAGAAGAGGAGGGCAGATGGAGAAAGGCAAGAAAGGGTATTTCCCTTCCTTCCCAAACCGCTCTTCCTTTTCCCTCCTTTCTCATCCCCTTTTGACGCCTGGCACGCAAGCTATCTCAAAATACGCTTTAGTTACCTCTTTGCAATCTATGCAGATAAATGGACTCTCCTTAAAGCAGATGGGGTCTTTTTCCTGTTTTCTTACTATGTCTTTGAGGCATGACCTAGGCAATTTCATCCCGAGAGACAGAGAGAGAGAGAGAGAGAGAGAGAAAAAGGGGGGAGGGGTCGGATTAGGTATTCAGGGAAGGACAAAGTTTTATACGGGGAGGCTCTGCCCTGAGGTCAAACCCCTCACCCTTTTATATACTCTTTTTGTCGGAAAAGGTACCTTTTTTGTGTACCTTCTAGTCAGAGTCTATTGACAAATGGTACACCTTTCATATACCTAGTTTAGAAAGTTAAAATACGTCTTTAAAATATGAATAAAAATCACAAAACCAGGAAGATTTATCGACTTTTTTACAGTCGTGAATAAATTTTTTCAGACCGAAAATGACAGATTTCCCTACCCTTTCATAAACTTCAACTAGTAAAATCCCCATCCCTTCATATGACTGAAGCCTGACAAAAACAAAAATAGAAATTAAGTAACTCTTTGCCCACAGAGTGTAAACACTGCCACCTCTCCTTACCGCTTCTTTGCATGACGTCCGTTGGTCCCTTTTGGCTGATATTTTTAAACAGTGAGTGGTCAGTGGTCATGGGCGTATCCAGCCTTTTTTTTCTTTTTCACGCCGAGCTGTAGAAGTCCTAAAGGGGCAAGGAAGTGGGGGGTGGGAGTGACGACATAATAGCAAGCCACGTAAACGCTTACCTGTAAAATACTACAGCACAGCCGTTCCGATTTGCTTTAAAATGTGCGCCTTCAATGAACAATAAGCAGTGAGTTATCAACAAAAGCCTTTTTGAATTTTTAATAAAGATTTTTATTTACACTCATGTATAAGTATCGTTTTGCATGACTGGCTTCTGTGCACTAGAGCTGGGAATCAGCTGTTTTCTCAGTATCGTAGATCGAACGTATGGCTTTTCATCCATCTCATAGTGCAAAATCATGGTTGTCTACCATTTACATGGGGCAAACCGGTCGGTTCACGGTTTGAATAAATGGTGAGAACAATTCTGGACTGGCAATGATTTCGTCCTGAAACAGCGTTTACCATGCTGTACAAGTCAGTTCCATTTACTGAAAAACAGCCTCCATTACCGGCCTGAAACTGGTATCAAAGATGGCTGTGAAGAAACCAGAACACGAAGGCAGGTCCGTCTGAAAAATTCCGTCCAGAAAAACAGGACCACCTTTTCAGATATGCCGTTGCTTCCGGAAATTTTCCGATAAAACGACTAAAAAGGTCGTGTCCCATTTACTTTCCAACCGAATTTTCCGGAACGTTTTATAAATTGTGCCCCCATATCTCATATCTCGTTCCCATCGCTTGTCAGTCGCGTAGTTGATGGACACTGATATGGCGAGGAGAAAAATGAGCATTGTGGTCACGATTTTCTCAGTCAGTGTAAGGTCTTCAGCTGTTTCGTTTAGGCCTCATGAGACGAACCAAACTTAGTGAGTTAAGTTCGAATGAGTCGTAACTAAATTTAAATTAAAAAAACAAAGTAAGATAAGTAACTAATTAACGTGAAGAAATTTAGAAGCATAACTGGGCTACGATCTCAGAGACAATTTGCCCCAAAATGCTCATTTTTGGCAAGTAGGCCTCTTGGACATTGTTCTTTCAGAATATCCTGACAAATCCCATAATTTCAGAAATTTCATTTTTATGACGTCACACTTTAGTACTCTATACGCTGGCGCCAAAACCATACCTGATAGGGCTTCTGTTCATCCATAAAAACGGTGATTTTGGCGCGATTTCTGTAACAGAGCGAAGCTTCGCCATTTGGTGCAATCACTCCCTTTCACATGCGATTGCATGAGCTAATTTTAACCAAAATTTTTGTTAAGCCCGGGCTTAATGGCTGAAAGGCAGCTACGCCACTGCTGCATGGTAAAATGAAGTCAAACAGTTTTCTAAATTTGGTCAACTCCAGAAGGCGCTAGCTGGCTTTGAAGAATAAGCCGTGGTTTTAAAGGCCAATCAGAGAAAGAGAAATATTTTGAATGCGTACGAAAGGAGGTCATTTTGAATTTCGAGTCTTTAAAGCTTGAAAGCCAATATCTATTTCCAGCTTTTGATAGGTCCTGAAATGGAGGACACGGTTCCTTTCTTTCTTCTTTATTTTCACTCTCAATCAACGTTACACAATCAATCATCGCGATTATTACGGCTCACTCAATTTACGGAATGTAGGCCAGAATTTTGCTGAAGCTGCAAACGTGTTTGGAAACAAGAACTGGAAATTCGGCGTAGTAGTTCCACGTTTTCTCTATAAAACTACGAATTAGGGATAACTGAAATTAAATATCGTAGTTGTCGCTGAGTTGTGCAAATGATAAGGACGACAAAGAATTGTAGCCAAATGTGCGAATAAACGTACTTCTTTTGAAGTTTTGTTGCCGTCGTTGTTGACGTTGCGCAAGCTACCTCGGCGGCTAAGAAATATAACAATTGTTTCGTTTTACTGAATATGGTACACTAGGAGCCAATGGGGGCAATACTACTCCAGTTTCCGTATTCTGAAGCGCCTTATTCTAGCAATATGTCGACGGCACCAACGTTGTATTTGTACTCCTGTCTGAACTCCTAATAGCCATTTTATAATTTGGCCATTTTGTCTCCCATGCTAGTGATGAAAAATTTTCTTTTAGAAATTATTACAAAACAAACATGGCGATTTCCCTCAAAGAGGGACTTCCCTAATTCGTGCTCATTTCTCAGTTTCAGTAAAATCTCAGTTGCCTCATAATGATCAAAGAACCCGTGAGGTATGTGCATTTGAAATAAAAGTATGACTGCACCGATGGCTCGACAGTGAAATCGCGTTTGCTAACTAATTTGACATGATAGTACAAGTCGTCCAATTCTGCAGGACGCCTTGGAAAATACTCTGAAAGAAGTGGATTGTCGACTAAAACTATATTTTTACAAATCCTGTTCTGACTCCAATTTCATGCGTCTTGCACCGCATTCTAATGCTTAAAAGGAATGGCAGAGGGTTAACACAATGGTTACGGCGAAAGCAAGCTGATTCGCAAAACAAAGTTTGCAATTGAAATCACAAAAAGATGGAGGGTAGGCACTGTAAATCAAATGCGATATAATGGTTTATAATTATGACTGGCTTGCTTTATTTGATTTATAGAACAATGCCATGTTAATATATGATTTTTACCCTTTGTATCACCCCCAAAATATCAGAAAAAGCTCAACCAGAAAGAGGAAAGCTGGCATCCTTGCTGAGTTGTTCACACGTGTACTCCCTCGTTTTCATTTCGTGTTTTCAGGTTAGGTAGACACAAAAGACCCACCTCAGCAAACCCTTTAGCAAATACGTTTATCTAGAAAGGTAACAAACAGGATGTCTAAGAAGGATTATTTACTATTACCTTGAATGCTTGGAGAAACAAAGAAGCGCCGAACACTCTTGGCAAATTTTTTGAAAAACACGTCGAAAGGCCAATTTTAACAGGCCAATTGCATTTCAATAATTTCAATAACGCGTTTTTTAAGTGATAAGAGCTTGAACTAAAATTAAAGTAGATTTTAATAGGATATAAAGTTTCTATGACAGCTTAAAATGTCAAATATGTTGCATATTTTAAGGTCACACTGAATAAGCGTTGCAGTATGGATTCATTTGAAAGTAAAGGTGTAATGTATTAGAACTGGAAATGCTGGAAATTGTTTTTAGCCACTTTAACAGACAAATACTGATTGTTAACCTAAATGGCTTCTTGTAATTTGATCGCTCTAAATAGGAATGCCAGAGTCTACGCTAAATCGCCCATCCTATGACTGTGTTTATAGGGCTAGTGCCGGATCGGTGGATTAAATGGGCTGGTGATTTGATCACTCTAAATAGGACTGGCTGTTCAAGTCTACGCTGAAACTCCCAGCTCATGGCTCTTTTCACTGATATGGACCGCTGCTGGTTTGGTTATTTGATGACTCTGGAGACGACAGCCCAAGTATACGCTGAAACTCCTGTCTCATGGATCTGTTCATCACGCCATAAATGATAGGATTGATCCACGACGAAACGAAGCAGAAGATCGGATAAATCGGCTTAGCAGATGAAGGAATAGAAATATGAAAACCAAATACTATAACTGAAATTACTATAAAAGGAGCCCAACAGATGATAAATCCGAGGACAGCAGCAAAAAGGACCCGAGATGTTTTAATTTCTTGTGCACTTATTCCAAACTGGTGTGCTTCTTGTAATGAATGGATGACGTTTTTGTTATGCTGCCGTATATTGCGATAGACTCTATTATAACAGAAGCCTATCACCAACATAGGGATGATAAAAAGGCAACCAAAGTAAATGTAGAAGATGTTCTCCATATGTTTATCGTTAAACGTTGAACGGCAAAATAGTTCGTAAGGCGACCACTTATATTCAACAGGAGCTGCGAACCATATCAGAGTCTGAAAAATGCAAAGAATCCATACAACGCAAATCGACGAAAACGTCTTCTTTCGGCTAAACAACGTCGAGTATTTTTGGGCCTTAACAACGCAGTAGTAGCGATTTATTGACGCAAGCGCCAGAATGGAAGTTGATATCTGACCCCATAAAGCTGCAACAAAACCAGCAAGTTGGCAAAAGTTATAGTGGAATGGCCACCTGCGCAATCCTGAAGCAAGTGTGCTTGAACAACTGACAAAGACAGCCAATATTAAATCAGCTATGGCCAGAGAAAGTACGTAGAAATTGGTGACTGTACGTAATCTTCTGTTTCTGTAGAAAGCGAGGCAAACAAGAGAATTTCCTGTAAGTGATAAAACGGTTGTTAGAGCGAGAACAGCAGTATGCAGAACGACCTCTTGCAGGCTTCTTGTATCTAATTCGAATGCTTCCTGTACCATAACGCTGTTATAATGCATGTAAAGCGGTTTGGATATGCGTCAAATTATGGGAATCGTGCCTTAAATACGATGTATGGACGTGACTGTTATTGGTTCAAATAGCCTTATTTGCAATTCAATAATTATTATTATCAGGTGGAAAAAAAACACTACTGAAAAGTGCAAATATTATTCCTGACATTTTAGTGAAAGCAATCACAAAAAATAAACAAAATCCTGTAAAGTTAGATGGAGTTCATCAGGGTAGGCATGTCGACTTTTTTTCCCCAAAACAAATGAAATAAGAATTGTGATCCTCCACAGGATTTTGATGCTAAAGGTGAAAGCACGCTCACGACATGCCTCCACTTTAAAAAAAAATAATTTATTTGAAGACGCTTTAGAGCACCTGCCATTTTGCCTCATTAGCAATTTGTCTCGTTTCAGAGGACACGCTTTGAGAAAATTATGCGTCAGCAAGTCAAACAAAAGAGCGTGTTAAAGTTTTTAGAAGCTTTCAGTGTGAACAAAAGCAAGAAAGGGTTATCTAAAGCGTGTCAGTGAAACGCGTGGTCAGGGTCAGGTTCGGGGTCTATCTTTTTTTTTTTTTAAAGAAAGCTGTTTTAGGGTCAGGGTTAGAGTTGAGATTAACCCTAACCTAACCCCAACCCCAACAACAGCGTTCTTTAAAGAAAAGATAGACCCCGACCCCTCGTTTTACTGACACCCACTGTAGGAGCTACAAACTTGATTCTCGGCTGTTAGATGCAAGAATCGAGTCTAGATTCTTGAGTTAGGGCGAAAAAAGGATCTTTTTTATATTCATACAGGGTTTTGAGAAAACAATTTATTTCTTCGCATCTACAGAAACTAACCGCTCGTCAGTACTTTCATGCCGCGTGCACCGCTCATCCTACACTTTCACGAATAAAAATTTCACTTTTAGCCGAAAACCAAAGGTAGGTTGCTTATCTGAACTTTTGGAAAATTGTGTCGGTGTATTTTGGTATGAAGGCTATCTGGTGAATTATAAAATATGTTTGTTTGGTGCACAATTTGCTTCGGTTTGTTTGTACAGTCGCGATCGCGAAGGAGAAATACGATCTTGAAGTTTATTAGTCGGGAATGGTTGTCAAAATGGCAATGTTTGCGAGCCGTCCTATAATAATCACAAAATGTACTGGTAGTATAGGAGACGTGCGTTCGATATGTTTGACAGGCGTACAGGTAGCAGTTGAGAGAGAAGGGTGGATGATTCTTGCGATAGATAAATATGATTGTAGCTTGTTTTGAACGCAAGGGTTACGTTCGGCGAAACCTCTATTTAAACTGGTGATGTTCTACGGGGCGCAGTTGTTCGAAGTCCTTTTCAGCGCTTAGCCCGTGTTACTTTTTCTTTTGTTCAAAAACATTTCTTCGGATAATTTTCTCTGTTATTTTTATGAGCATCCAATTATCAACTTGTTGGCAAAATGATTTACACTGAATTTACTTTTTAAGCTTTCACATCTGAATTCAAATTTCGCACTAAGCCTGGGTTTACTTTTCTTAACCTACAATAGCTTTGAACAACCCGGCCCAGCTATTGTTAAAAGCTAACAGTTGACAACGTGTTAGATGTAATCGATAATTTTAATTATTGGGAATTCCACATGTAGACAATTACTGAAATTTACTATAAAATGAAACCGTTACTGTCAAGAAGTCTTCTTAACTTGTGCTGATATCAAAGACCCAAGACCACTGTTTTTGTGGTGAACGTCGCGGGCACAATTAAATGAATTGTGTTTGCACACTGGTTCACTTACAATACTCCTTTAAATTTCACACGTTTCAAGTGAATCATCAAAGCTTTCAGTGGAATGTGTGTGCTCACGTCAACAACTTTTTCAGTAATTTGGTCGAGTTTGTTGATTTCAGTAACTCGAGGGGCGCTACTGTGGGCTGGTTTAGAAGCTTTTCCGAATTAATAACATACAGCTGAAATGTTTGTTTGTCCGCTGCCGAAAATATCACAAGTCAAGATGAAAAGGTGCCGCCGAGCTTCACATCTCGGTTTAGATACAGTGTGGCACAACGGCCGCTGAGCTACTACACAACTCAGTAGATTTACTTAGATTTACTTTGTGTGGCACAACGGCCACCAAGCTACTACACAACTTGGTAGATTTACTTTGTGGTACGACGGCCGCCGAGCTACTACACACTAAACTCAGTCAGATTTACTTTGTGTGGCACAACCCCGGGGGGGGCACTTGGGTATTTTTTGGCTGGGTATGTGCCGCCCGGGACTGCAAATTGGCACCCCGTTCTAAAAAAAATTTCCCCTAAAATTGATACCCCGTTCTAGAAATGGGCCAATTTTTTATACCCCGTTCTAGNTCCGAATTAATAACATACAGTCAGCTGAAATGTTTGTTTGTCCGCTGCCGAAAATATCACAAGTCAAGATGAAAAGGTGCCGCCGAGCTTCACATCTCGGTTTAGATACTTTGTGGCACAACGGCCGCTGAGCTACTACACAACTCAGTAGATTTACTTTGTGTGGCACAGCGGCCGCTGAGCTACTACACAACTCAGTAGATTTACTTTGTGTGGCACAACGGCCGCTGAGCTACTACACAACTCAGTAGATTTACTTTGTGTGGCACAACGGCCGTTGAGCTACTACACAACTCAGTAGATTTACTTTGTGTGGCACAACGGCCGCTGAGCTACTACACAACTCAGTAGATTTACTTTGTGTGGCACAACGGCCGCTGAGCTACTTCACTACTCGATAGATTTACTCTGTGGTACGACGGCCGCCGAGCTACTACACACTAAACTCAGTCAGATTTACTTTGTGTGGCACAACGACCACCCAGCTACACAACTTGGTAGATTTACTTTGTGGCACAACAGCCGCCGAGCTAAACAACCCGGTTTCATTGATGCT